TGGGAATTTCTACACTTACCTATACAGACACAGTAATACACTAACTTTTAGGCAAGGGCCGCGCCATAGCTCAAGCGGTTAGTTGCTGTCTTCCCACTGCGGCGGCCCGGGTTTGATCCCAGATCTGGCCAAGTGGGATTTGTGGTGGACAAAATGGCACTGGAGTAGGTTTTCTCTGAGTACATTGGTTTCCCCTGCCAGTCTTCATTCCACCAATTGCTCCACAATCACCCTCGCATGTCATCTGAGGCGGGTACAATAGGCCAGAAGTGGCCACAGTACAAGGGACTTAGTCTCACCCCACTAGCAATAAAAAAAACTGGTAGGCAAGATCTAAGGAAAACAGTTGTAATAATATTATATTTGACACAGCGGGCCAGTACGTGAACACACCCTCATAGAACCACCCACATGCACACAAGCACTCATAGAATCCAAATTACCACGAGACATATGTTTACCGACACGTCACACACAACATCACAACCCCACACATGCACGCACACATGGCAAATCATTAATAATTAGTGGCTAACCTAATAACAAATGTAATATCGAAAATATCTGTTATATTTGCACTAAATATATAAAGTATACATTTTCTATATATGAAGATAATAGCAAATATAGAACTCAGCAATTTATTATAGTTGCAGACAAACTTACTATGAAGGAACACAGCCTTCACTGGGGTTCACAGCAAGATTGTAATTAATCAAAAAATTCCATCACTTTTAACAAAACATATTTTAAATACCAGTGTTTTAACCCTTACAAGACAACACATGCACGTAATACATGTGAAGCATTTCCTTTGAAGTGCTGGTTGCCCTCTGATGATGTACACCATTTGCTTTAAATATGTAAAGGCCTATTTTATTATTAAAAACGTCATTGCACTTGATGGAATTAAATTATAATTTTACTTGTATGCCTTTTATAACATTCATGTTATAAATGGGAAGGAATTAAGTCCATACACATAATATTTGTGAAATACTGGGAAAAGTGAAGAAGAAAGAAAACTGAAAATGTGAACTGGTCAGTAACAGGGTTGTATACACAGGTAGCATAAATTTCTGGTAGATATTTTGGATAATAAATACATTTGATGTATAGTATTCAGTACATTCTTCAACCAGAAGCAAACACCTGTGTTAGATGGAAAACTGCCTGAAGTATAAACATTTTCAGATGCCATATAAATTCCATTCTAAGCAGGTTTCATTGCATTAAGTTTTTCTAAGTGTTCATTTGCTGTTCCAGTGAATTGATGGCTAATAAAATTGTGACTTAGTTACAGGTCTCACATAATGTAAGGGCAGCATTTAAATTTTTAAGTTCATGTTATTCTTGTGTTTTATATTTTATGCAGTGTAATAAATGTTCTTTGATGATTTATATTGACCTCAGTAAGTTCTTGCATATAAATTTAATATAATGAAAAACTTATTCTTAACCGACTTTAATGATCAGCTACCATAGTGCAGTATAATTCTCATTCTTTTAAATCATGTAATTTGATCAGATATGTGCTTTTCTTCTCTGTTTTTGCCAGTTTATTTTCAGTGTACATTATTGTGATAGTAACTGAATGCACATGTTGGCAGGATGAAATTCCGCAGGTACGGGAAATCTTTGCAGCCAAGTTACACAAAGGTCTGAGTAAAGGAATTCCAAACAACAGATGTCTACCACTTGACTTTATGGGATACTATGCCCTTGCAGGTCAAGAGGAAGACAAGAGAATTAAGGCTCAGATTCGTCAGCATATGATATCTGATATAAATAAGCGAAGAGAATACATCAAAACTCTACCTGTCTGGTCTACAGGAGGTATGGATTAACAATACATTTACATCATAAATTTTAATTCCAGGCCAATATGGTTAACCCTTTGTGGTCCAATTTGAATACCACCACCGTTTTCTGCTGTCTGCTTAAATACCCCTGAATTATTTAATTGCAACTACTACTATTAACTAGTTTGTATTTATTTGTAACTTAACATAAAACAGAAGAAACATTGCTAAGTATGTTGAAAATGTGGTCTGGAAGGATCAGAGTTCCTACTGTTTGAATAGTGACTGTGTGAAATATTTTTACAGAACAAACTTTTTGTGGTTTCTGACCCATAACAGAGGATCAGGCTATGAACATACCCATTTGTGGAATCTGCAAGTGCATGTATGAAAAGTCCTCACTTTATAGGCTTTTGTGGATTGTGCATTTTGAAAATCTCATGACCCTTGAAATTCACAGCTGATTCATCTGCAGATGAATATTGTGTTGGGCTATAAAATTAAAAAAAAAATGGTTCAGCATAATCAATTACAAACATTACTTTTCTAGTTAGGAACTGTATTTGCGTCTCAGGAGTTCTGGCCCTAGGAAGGGGAGAGAACTGAAGAGCCCAGTATAAGTGTAAAACTATCATCCTAGAAAATATGTCCTTGTAGAACTGAAAAATCTAGTCACTGTTCAGAGAAAAGGTCCTTGATGGAACATTTCACACATTTTCCCATGCTCAATATAACACCATGAATACCATCAGCTCTTTGGTTTAGATGTCTTTCCACCAGATCCAAATCAAATGTTTTCTCGAAGGCATGGATTAATTTATTTTTTCACTTACATACTTATAGGTTTCAGCAGCTGTTTCTTTGATTAAAGTTACAAGTATACTAAATATGGCAGGAAAATTATGTTTGTAGAGAAACAGTCATTTGTCCTTTTTGAGGTAGTTTGCAACCGAGGCACTGAATGGTGTCTTACAAATTTATGTTCATTTTGTCTCAGTGAGCCCAACCTTCATATATCATCATCATCATCATCACCACCACCACCACCACCACCACCACCACCACCACCACCACCACCCCTACCATCATTGTCATTATATTTGCACCTGCCTGACCGTCATCAAAGTTACCACTACTGTCGCTCAAATCAGACATATTTATTTTGGTGTCAGGGTCAGTATGCTTCATTTTATCAATATCTGCATCCTGACTAATTTCTGTGAAAGAATCCGAATCATAATGCGATAGTTCACAGATCTATTTGCTGTCCAGCGCACACCCACCGGTAGATGCCATGGGGGTGTAACTACTGAGGAAAAATTACCAGATACTTTACAGGGTCTGAGTACACAAAAGTATTACAAGGAATGGGTGGGTAACACCACGGAGGAAGACTTGAATGATATACTGACACTGTTTGCCTCACCCAGGCTGACTGCAGATCATGTATAAATTACAAACAGTATGCTGCAGGATGAGTTCTCCATAGGACTTGAACTTAGAATTTTCAGTGGCAGACTCAGTCCAACAGAGGACTGCAAAAGGTTAATACAGTAAAGTGTTAGATTATGTACATGTACATAATTACTTGGCTGTAAGAGTACAACCATGTTCTACAGGGATATGAACAAGTGCACTTTTGCAGGAAAATAATTTTTGTCTGTACTTAGGCATCAGCATTTGCAGTTGCATCTGTTTGTAGACTGTATGAATTATGCTGGATTGGTAGTAGCATAATAGAACTATTGTTATAGTATTGTAAGAATAATGCATGGGCTTACCCTTCGGGCTCTTGTAAAAATAGAGTTTAATTTGAATTAAAAATTTATGTTGGAGTGTAATTGACTCACTCCATAGAGATTAGTCATTCTTGAGATGCCAGTGTAAGTTACTGAGCCAGTGAAGAAATTCCTAGCATTCAGTAGAACCCAACGGCTCATTACCTTGTTCACAAGAGCCCACCAGTGGTTCTTATCCTGAGTGACATGAATGCAGATCACACACTCAACTCTTATTTCCTTGAGATTCATTTTAATATTATCCATCGATCAACATTTAGGTCATATAATTGTCTCCTTGCTTCAGGTTTCCTCAACAAAACTTGGTATGTACTTCTCTCCCATACATGCTACATGCCCTTCCCATATCATCCTTTATTTGGTCATTCTAACAATATTTATTGAGGAGTACAAATTATGAAGCACTTCATTATATAGTAGTCCTTAGCCTCTTGTTATTTTATCCCTCTTACATCCAGATATTCTCTTTGTCATGCTGTTCCAAACACCCTCAGTCTTATGTTCTTTCCTTAATGCGAGAGACTTTAAGTTTCACACCCAAATGAAACAACAAATTGAATTATAATTTCATATATTTAACATTTTACGCTTTTAGAAATGATTCTGAATTGGTTGGTAGCAGACATGCTACAAATTTAATCTGCTCTTAATTTCTTCATGAATGCAGTTTTGAGTGTTACTCACATATCCAAATATTTGAACCTTGCCACATTTTCAAAGCATTTATTAGCTATCTTTATGTTATGATTTTATTCTGCATTCTGATGATGAGACGTCAGTGTATACTTCGTTTTCTCCGTGTTTACTTCTAGAGCATTCAATAGAGACAGGCTGGACAGCTAGGGTTTGATCCCTGACAGGAGCAAGAGATTTTTCTCTGCTCCACAGTGTCCAGACCGGCTCTAGGGCCCATCCAACCTCCAATCCAGTGTGGGTATCAAGGGCTCTTTCCCTTGAAGTAAAACAACCAAAGCATGAAGCTGATCACTCATCTCCATCTAGTTCCAAGGTTATTTAACTGCTTTCTCTAGTAGCCGCTCTTGACACTGCCCCACGTTGAGGATGCCACTTTCTAACCATTTAATTTGCGTAGCCACTTAGACAACCACTTTCTAACCTCCTCCTCCTTTGTCCTCTTCCTCCCACTCCCTCGTTATTCATAGTTGAGCACCATGTGATTTTAGAACCATGTCAAAAATATCGGGAGCGATATGTGAATGGAAAGAGAAATAATGTTCAGTATGTGAGCATGAGGATTCTACTCGGCTTAAAGGGCCTTGCTTCAATGAGAGGGTTCACCAAAGAAGTCACTGGTCCACACTCTACTAGTGAAACGATGAACTTAATTTATTGTTAACAACACTACCCAGTGTTACACAAATCAGTCCATTTAGGCTGATATTTAGTTATAACACTGATATACACTTCTGGATGTAGGAGACTGTTTTCACAACTACTCTGGTACGTGACTGTACTGTTCACCTCTAACCAGCGATACTCAGCAACGCAAGTAATGCAAGCAGTACTCAAAATACTGTTTTTAGCAATGATCAGCCTTCAGTACTCTCAATTGACGTAATACTTATAGAGTCTTCCACATCTAGGTCTTTCTTGAAACTTTCACACCATTCTACAGATTGAGAATGTTCTGAAAGTTTGTTTTAGTTTGTCTGGTCGGAGCAGTAACTGATACAGTACCATGCCAGATATCATGGGATTGTCTCGAGTTGCAATAGCCTTTATCTAAACATGACTTGCTACAAATTCTAAGAATAGTTATGGCAAAACTGAGTATAATTCACCTATAGTACAAAAATGGTATTTAGTCCTAAGTACTCATATTATTGAAATTGAAATTTATATTGTGCCGGTAATATTTAAGAATGATGCCAGTAGTTAATGATAGGTTACAGTTAAGAATGGTGGAGCTATACCTCCACTCCTTTGTATGTGTTCATGGCATAGTGCTTAAGTAATTAAGCATAGGGATTTCACCTTTTTATATTTTTGGTATGTAGACCCATTGCTAGGCAACAACAGTGAAACAAGTAACTATACAGCAGTCATTGTTAAGTAACAACTGCGCAAACAGGCATGTTTCCATGGCAATGAGAGAACAGCAATAATGTAAGACACATTTTCTGTGCAGTCCGTGCTGAGGTGTTATAACCAGGACCAGTTAGCAACTGTCTGACATTAACAAAAATCTGGTCTTGGGGGCCCCAGATGCAGGTTGACACCAAGACAGACTGGCCAGCTGATTGTTGGTCATAATGTAACTTTGACTTTGACTTGAGTTGTAGTCAATCAGAGAACTGCTGGGGTTCAGTTATCATGAACTGTTGCTTTTAAAACCTGGTAGCTGAGACTAGGGACAGTTCAGGAACCCATGGGAAGGGGAACATCCACTGTTGGAAGCTAGTACCAAGCAGCAACAGTGAAGATGTGATTGTGGACACTAGTGTGTGCGTAATAGTGAACCTTAAAGTGTAGTCACGTGCTGTATCAAAGTGTGCAATAAATCAAGACAGTCAATCCAAAACCCATCTGCAGTCACACTCTGTCATGCAAAAACTGGTATCAGAGGTGGGATGTTTGGAATGAGCAGATCAAAAGGATTCAATTGAGTGAACTGTTGGAATTATTGAATTGTGTACCATCCGTTTTGAACACAAGTGACAGATAATCATGGTGGACATGGATTGTCAGGTAGCCTTCTTAGGGAGGCCAGAGACCAAGATGGATGCCTTTTGAGAGAACATAGAGGCCTGATAGGAAAAATGGAGGCATATCCAGAAAGGGCAGAGGCCAACTGAGAAGTAATGGAGACTTGCCTGGAGAAGATGTAGGCCATTCCAGAAGAAGTAGAAGCCGTGGTGGAGCATCAGGAAGTGCATAATGAAGATTTAATGGTGGAGATGATCAGAGCAGCTGAGGACCGAACCAAGGACTATGCCATTCCTACATGATATAAGGTCCGCAGTCACATGCACGTGCGCATGCATGAACAGACAGTATGCAAGAACTGTATAAACAAACGAACTATACACTTTGAAATAAAGCCCAAAATATGTATAGTGAAATGAAGAAGTAAAGTAACTCATCTCTCTTTCAGATCTTTTGTAGCACATTGTACTGTCATCACTGCCAGGCTGTTACATTTAACAAGTTAGTCTTCAGTATTTAGAAAAGAAATTCTTGCTGCCTCCAGGAATTATGCTTTCTTTGTCAAGATATAAACAAGAAATGACAAGACCTGCAGATACATAAAGAATAAATTATTATAATAAAACAAGAGAGGAAAATATTTTAGTCTTTTATGTTTTCTTTGGAGGGGGTAGAGATTGTTGAGGACAAGCGGCCCATAAGGACTGTTGTCTTTTCTAAGAGCTGGTTTTATAGCAGAGGACCAGTATTATCAAACCATATAGGTTTAACTTTAATGTTAGTTAGGGAGATAAAAGTGTATTGGCCATATGTAGTTACTGTAGGAAACTATAGACTGCTGCTTTATGTCAAGGTATGTATAATTTTTTTCTTTGGGGTGGGTTATATACTAGAATGAATCTTTCAGGTAAAACTTTTATAGACTAATAGACAAAGTATTTTATTTCCTTTCTTTTTTTCTTTTTTTGTTGTAGTTGCAGTGTACCCTTTTTTAAAAAACAATTTAATAGCATAGAACTACCAGAATACATCTTTGTCATCACTGAGCTATGTATTCACATCAGACATTTTGTGTGTGCATGCTTGCATTTGAGGAGGGGTGGGACTATAGATACATGTTCAGTGGTTAGTGCACTGTTGCAGCATCTTTTGTTTCTTCCCAGTTCCCTCCCATTCATACACAAGTTAACTTTGGAAATAGGGTATGTGTTCTCATCATTAATTTGGATTATTAACATTTGCTGTCATGTTTGTATCATAGGTCCAACTGAAAGGGGGATGGGCCAGCTGGCGCACATTCTTCCTGATTATATGCTAGTTTTTGCAGTACCAGTTCTGGCCCATGACCCAGATTTCACTTCAAATGAAGATATGGAGCAACTTACCAGGGTGCGACAGTGTCTCTGGTTCATACTTGAACCTCTGATGACAAAAAATGAATTCTACTGCTTTGGTTTTTACAAAAATCTTATTGAACGTATGAAGAATCATAAAGATGCTCTCAAAGGGGAGGATGATAGCATGAATTATGTGAGTAAAAATAATTATCTTCTGCATATATTCTTTTAGTGTTTGAAGTTTATTAATATTCAGTTTTCATGAAAAGTTTTGCTGGAATATGTTTTCACTTCTGCCATAGTTTTGTTCTTCTGTGCATTTTGTTTCACAGAAACTTTGGGCTGTGTGTGACTTAGCCATGGGCCTAGTCCTTTCTAAGACGACGAACTATGAAATGAAAGAGTTTCCTGCAGAAACAAGGGTTCCAACCATGTACTTTCGTCGTCATGAGGATGCCCTTTGGGTTAATGCAAAATCTTACCTGCCACCTGATATGCAAGTAAGACTGTTTGTTAATGTCTTCATTCTTAATGGATATTTAAAAAACAGGAGAATGGGGTGTTGAGTTCCAGTTTGAAGTAATTTTCCAAATGTGTTCTTTGTAATATTACATACCTCATTGGCATTATTGTTAATGCTTTGGTAATACAAATCATATATCATTAAATTTGTAATCTTTTTGATTTATGTTGTGTGTAAGAAATGGAAATTCAGTAGGGAAATGAAATGGATACACATGTTAATATTACATAATACAGTATATCATTTTGTATTATTATTTGCTCAAGCTATTTTACATTTATCATAGCAGTAATTTTAATGGGATCAGTACTGAATTCCATATATTTGACTGCAGGCCACCCCTTGCCCCCCCCCAACCAGCCAAACATTAATGTGCAGTCATTACTATTGAACACTCAGAAGAACATTAAAATTTCCTGAAATTCAAAATACCAATGCTAATTTTATTCAAAATGTTGAGAAAATTGTGTTTGTATTTGTAAAGTACAGCTGAACTTCTTCCCTTGTGTATTTAAGCAATGCAATGAAGATATATGGGAGAGTGGAGTTATACTCTACACAGTCTTAACTCTGGCACTAATTGGAGGTGAGCTGCCTGCTTTTATCACCAAGGAATGAGTTACAGTACTCACTGAGTAGGAGGCTCAGTGGCCCCCAGAGCTGGTTAGGATGTGATGGGGAACGAAGTTCCTGCCTCTGACGAGAATTAAATCATAGTCAAACTTCTTGTTTCCCACTCACTGTAGTGACTGAGTACCCCATGTGTTAAAGCAGACTCTGAACTAAAAGAAGTGTGAATGAATTAAACTTGAAATAACCTACCTGTCTGTCTTCTGTGTGTCCGTATAAGTAGCCTTCTTCACCTTTATTGCCATCCATTTTCCCTCATAGATTTCATTTCCATTTTTAGTGAGCATAGTCCATACACTGTTATCTTTATCTAATACCATTAGGTACTTTCTAACATTGCCAGAACCACCCACAACTGTATTAGATATAGTATGTGTATTTCTTGTATTACCACTCGTTTTAATTCCATTAGGCTAACATGATTGTGTCATGTTTCACAAAACAAGCAGAAAGTTTTACTATACAATGCAACCTCAGTATTAGAAGAATTCATAAAATTACCAAACATATACATTGTAATGGATGTTTGAATTACATAAGTACAAGTCTGTCCTCTATTTTCCAATTACATTTAATATACAGTATGACAGTAAGGTTTGAATCATAGTGCAGGTACAGCAATATTTCTCATCTTGATTTGTATTGTATTTTATAGGTGCATGCTCCTAAGATGAAGCCAGGCATACCTATATCTATGGTAGACACTGGCACAGGTGGTATGAAGTTGGTCACACGTGGAAAAGTGAGAGGTCGTGCTTTAAAGCAACAGCAAGGTGTTGGCATCAATGAAACTGATGTTAAGGTTAGCATATTTCACTATTCCTATTAGACTCCACAGTTTGACTGGGACATTTGATATCACTTTACCAGTGGAACACCATTACACTGGGGTACGCGGTAGCATAGTTGGTTGAGGGGCTACGCTACAAGCCGGAAGGTTGTGGGTTCATGTCCCAATGAGGTCATTGGATTTTTTTCATTTGACCTAATCCTTCCAGCCGCACTATGGCCCTTGGGTTTACTCAGCCTCTTAACATAAATGAGTAACAGTAATTAATTAACCTTTAAGAGACGAAGTACGCTGTATGGGACACTTAAAGTGTAGTCATCGTGGCCGAAGTGCGCCATATGGGACGCGTAGTCCACGCGCTTGCACAGTGTTTTAAAAAACTAATTCTAAGAAAGAAATCTTTGTTTTACTTACATTCTTTTTCGGCATCAGCTTGATAAGTAACCAGGCTTCACTCCTGCAACATCTAACTGAATCTATTTGTGTGGTACTCCTGGAAACACCCGAAAATGCAGCAGAGTCCAACATCGCATTTTATGCACTTTGTTTGGATATTTCTCCTCTTTCCACGTGAAGGACACCCACGACAGTTCAGTCTCTAGGTTGAGGAAGTTGGCCAGTGATGTCGATTGGCTTCCTGTAATCGATATATTGTAGATGACAGAGCAGGAGGTCGACCTATGGGCCGTTGTGGGTGAGGTGGACCCTTTGCAGCATGTTCCAGCATATTTCGCACAAGTGCAAGACGAAAGTCTTGATGTGACAGTTTCACACCACAGCATGACAACACGATGAAACATCAGAATCGTCAGATCGAGGAGATGGAAGAACAATTTGCTTGTCCATTTCCAGTTTCGACGACTGATGGAATAGCTGTTTGTCATTCTGTCTGCCTTGTCGACATATCCCATGTGCTTGTTGTAATTTGCAACAATTGCTTGTTTGATGGCATTTCCATGCTCATCACAGAAATTGCCTTCTGCTGGAGGAGAGTGCATGTTTGTCATCATATGAACGTCACGTTTATCCTTCCAAACTAGTGCTGTCATGTCCCCTCTCACCCTAACCCAAATGTCACCTTTCTTCAATTGAAGTTGTCTTTTGTGAAAGTCCTGTGATGAAAAGAAATTGTCCATGTACAGTTTGTGGCCTACCCCCTCAACCCTTCTGCGGAGGTCCCTAACCGTAACATGTGTCGCTGTCACATCTTGGTCGGCACGTGTCCTGTCTTTCCCTAAGTAAACCTTCATGTCATAAATGTACCCAGGAACATCACAGAGTTTGTAGATTTTGATTCCGAAACGTTTGTATTTCTTAGGAATATACTGTCTGAAAACCACCCTCCCTTTGAATTTGACAATTATTTCATCAACAGATAAAAGTTCAGAAGGATTATAATATTTTTGAAATGCGTCATTTAGAGTATCGAAGATAGTCCTAATTTTGCATAGTCGGTCATAACTGTCGGCATTCCTGTCAATTTCTGTATTGTTATATGCAGAATGAATGAAATGAAGAATGCGAAGAAAACGGTCACGTTTCATTGTGTTGCTGTAGAAAGGCGTGCAAAATTGCTCAGCAGTTGACCAGTAGTCCTTTAGAATCGGTTACATCAAGGCACGGAGAAGGTCCGTTTTCAAGTCTGTCTAGGTCCTGGTGATAATATCTGTTAGTCTCTTCCACCAGCAGCTGGATAATTCCAGTAAAGTAAAGCATGAAAACGCAGAGTGGGGCGGAATCCTTATTTACGTCTGGAGCTTCGTTGAGATTTATCCCCACTGTTCCAGTGGAAAAATTATTCACACCCCTCCTGTCATGCTGGTGTTGTGGACCCCAGGTTGTTGACAAAGATAATGGTTCTTCGTCAACTTCACTTTCGGCGCTTTCATCATGACCACTGTCAAAATCATCTGTACCGCAGTCTGAATCTGTATCGCACAACTGCCTTTCAATTTCATCTTCTTCCAAACAAATTGAGGCCATTGAAAGTATGTAGAGATGACTCAGTGCAGAGTGTACAATGTGCACTACAGAAGCCTTTGATCGAACATCGCAAGAATGCGCTAATGAATGAATGTATGAGGGGTAGGCCTTCTTGGCCCTTGCAATGCCACCTACAGTGGTCTATTGTGCTTAAGAATATACTAAGTATGCTACAACAAACTGGCAATGTCTATAATCTGAGAACATGATTCAGCAGAAACAAATATAAACTTCCCCTCTCTCTAACTGATAAACCAGGATCCAACATTTATACTGCTGAAACATATTGTGCATGAGATATAAGCAGAATTGTAGGCAAACGCTCAAAATTAAAAAAAAAAATTGAATCAGCGTAAGCATTTTTACAGATTTTAAAATCTGTCAATTACAATAGTTGATTCTATATTCTTTCTATTTCATTCGTTTACCACAAAAATTTATAAGTTACAGCATTTTTAGTATTTAATTTAATCTTCTAGAGCAGCAGGCATTTAAATAAAGTTCTGCCTGCTACAACTACCACAATTTAAATAGCCCATCTCTTAAAGGTTAAATAATTTTCCTGGGGAATAAAGCATGGCTGGCGTGTAAGGCTGACAACCTTACCGCCATCTTTGAGCCAATTGTCCAGATATGTGGGACCCTCAACGTCTCACAACTCTATGGGCCTTCACGGCCTGTTACAGGGATGGCTTTACTTTTTTACTTAGTTAGTTATTGGAGAGGGTGGGTTTCCCCATGCACTGAGACCAGTATTGGTCCATTGCGCTTCCCTCTATGATATTCTACCAGTCTCTATACCCTACCGATACTGGTGCGTACTGTCAGTCCCGACCGAGCCAGCGAGTTCGCCCTCTACTGGCTTAGCGGTATCTATAATGCTTCCCCCATATATCAGAGGCGTTAGAGACTGCTGTTGGGCGGTAAACGTCCTTGAATTTGGCTCAGTGACCTCCTTTGGAGATATGAGGTTCTTTTACGTGCCGTAAAGCTACGACACAGGACCCACGGCTTAAAGTCCCTCCTGGAGGACTTGTTCCCTGAATTTTTCCGCCCTTAAAAATTCCACGACCTCTGCCAGGTTTGAACCCGCGTACCACGAGTCATGAGGTGGGAATGTTACCTCTAGACTACAGAGGCCGCTTGTTTTTTTTTTACTTACTTACACCATTACATTGTTTGTTATTTATGACATTTTTTGTTATACAGTCCAGATTATATAAAGTAATGGTTGTAGCTCCTCCTCAGTCCATTTTATTATACATGTTTTCTGCTTGGGACATGTACTGCATTTTCTCTTGTAATTTATACTTCTGTTACATTTCAGAGTACAAGTGATTAATGTGGCAGTTTTGTTCCAAAAAAGACAGATGCAGAGGGTGAAATTTCAGAAATCAAACATAATTTCCCCATAAGATCGATGAAAATGTCTGAGAACTGCTACAAAGAATATCAGAATATCCTTGATGTTACTTGAACTGATTGTCTTGTGCAGTACAGTACAATCATTCATTTTCCTTTTTCAATACCGTTTATATCATTGCAGTATGAATAAATTGTGTTCATGATTATTTACTTTGAAAGAACAAGGCTGGACATTGCAAAGGAATGGCATGTCGTAATGTCATTGAAATATGCATAGAAACCTGTGGCACTGAGTTTAAATCACTTGCCTAGTTGTTCCAACACACACATTCTGTCTCTCTCTCCCTCTCATACATTAAGAAAAACACATGAACAAGATGTATTTTGAATATTGTTAAATAGTTTTTAGGTGACAGGAATTGTTTATAGTAATAATAAAGAAATAATAAAATTGATGTTTGATCTCTCAGTAGATGGTTTGCTGAATAGGTGGGTGTGTGATCTGATGGATGAGTGATTGAGTTGTGAGTAGACATGGTTGAAGGAAGTGATTGCAGTAGTATAGAAGGGGATTAAATTGGCAGAAAAATCAGCAATATTGAGTTCTGCATTTGTGACCACTGTAGTTAATGGTCAGATTTCACTAAAGATAATTACAGGTCATCCTCTTCAGTTGCTTCCTAGCCTCTTGATTTCTCATGCAACAGCAGATGTGCAGAATAGGTTGTGTGGCTGTAGCACAGTGCTTGAACCAACTACACGTATTATTATGGAATTGCTTAGAGATCCTATATACTTCTTTTACCGGTTTTAAAATGTGTTTCCATGCAGTCTTTTGTTTGTAATCATGCCAGGTGTGATTATATGAAGTGCTGTGCTGTGGAAAAGTGCAAGTTTGAAGTTTTCACTGATGATAATACTTGTAATGAGGTAAAGGTATACAGGAAATTTAATATGTTTTGTCAGTTTCAGATGTATTACAGTATTTTCAATAGGGTGAATATCACACTAATTCAAGAGATATTTCTGGCCTAGGAAGTTATGTCTCTGCTCAAGGACAGGGCAATGAATATGTTAATGTTCTAGACAGCATTGACACCAGTCACTGAATTTAAGTGAGACTTGGTGTAAAGGATAAGTTAGCTTATAAAGAGTGCATTTTATATAGACCTGTTTACTGTAGTTTAAAATAGTGGCATTTTCTGATATATTTTGATAACACTAATTACTATCATTTACATTTACATGCTGCAGGAGGAAGGCATGTTGGAGTGTATTGATGCAGAGGTCAGTTGTGTATAAGGGTTCTGTATTAACCTTTTAGTGGCACAGTTGAAAATTTTTAATTCGTAAATATTATGAAAAATCTGATTTGCGACTACCAGATAATCTTCGTGTGTAAGCTTTTATATTTCATTCCATCATTCATTTACCTATACTGTATGCATGCAGTTGCATGTAACTGTCCACATTCCAGGTATAACGGATACAGAGAATCATACAGAATTACTGGGGTTTTGGACTTTTTCCATCACCTGGAATTCTGGGTAATAGATGACACGACGTTTCAGAAACTGGATCTGTTTCTGTCTTCAGGTGAGACAGGAAGACGCCTACTCAGTTGGGCCCCTTAGAAAGAGCTAATCTCAATCACTGGAGGGCCCCAACTGAGTAGGTGTCTTCCTTTCTCACCTGAAGACGGAAACAGATCCAGTTTCTGAAACGTCGTGTCATCTATTACCTAAAATTCTGGACAATGGAAAAAGTCCAAAACCCCAGTAATTCTGTATGTCATCCACCATTGTCAGAACCCTTTAGAATCTACAGAGAATCATATTGTCACTTTAGTTCATTATCACCATTGCAGTCCATCAAGGCACTATAAGAAATTTATAATATAATTTTTCTATTGATTTTCCAATATCCATACTGCCCATGTAACATCTTTGTTTGCATAATGCCCCCCCTTATATTCTTTGTTGGGAGGGGGAATGAATGGTTCTTTTTCTTTTCCTTCTACATAATATCCTCCCCTTAACTTGGTCATGGTGTTTTCAGTTTTTGCTACTGCTCATGCAGGAAGTAATTTCAAGTCTTGCCCCTTTGACTGAAATACGTGGTGTGTTCAGAAATATCGAGTCTTCTTTTTTCCCCGCATAAACCAATGAAGTGCAGGAGGCTCCCTTCGGTGAAGATGTGGAGGGGACATTCATGCGCAGTCATGAATTTTTTCCCCCGCAGAAAGCGTCAGTCACTGGCAGTCGGCCTATGAGTGAGGATGTGTAGTGAGCACTCGTCGAATTCCAGTAAGGTGTAAAATGACGGAACAACATGAGCAGCAATATTGCATCAAATTTTGCCAAAAGCTTGGCGAAACCCAAGTGGGAACCATTCGCAAGATTCAACAGGCTTTCGGGGACGATGCCATGAGCAACTCACGGATAAAGGAATGGTACAACCGCTTCAAAGATGGCTGCACATCAGTGGACAGCGAACCGCATTCAGTCTGACCCTCAACAAGCTGAAATGAGAATGTCATTGAGCAAGTGCGGACTTTGGTCATGGAGGACAGTCCGAGAACTTGCGAACGAGATAGGGATAAGCATTGGACCGGTACATTCAATTTTGACCAAGGGTTTGGGCATGAGGAGAGTGTCCGTGAAATTTGTACCAAAACTGTGCATCTGATTCAGACTTTCGTCGCCAAACACAACATCCGTGTGGTTTGTCAGGCTCCCTACTCCCCCAACATGGCTCCGTGTGACTTTTGGCTATTTCCCAAGCTGAAAATGCTGCTGAAAGGAACCCGATTTGAGTCGAGAGAAGACATCATGCGGAATGTGACGGCCCGGCTGATCACCATTCCAAAAGACACATTCCAGAAGTGTTTCCAACAATGGCGGAAGTGCTGGGAGAAGTGTGTGCATTACCAAGGAGACTACTTTGAAGGGGATTAGGGGGTTGTACCTCCAAATCAATAAATGTATTTCTGCCGACCAAAGGTTCGATACTTTTTGAACACACTACATAAGTGCTTCATCTGCACAGGTGTATAACTTTTTCCATAATGAGCTTTGCACTGGATTATCTATCCCAGATCAGGCAAGATAAGGTAAAGTTGTCCCATTGCTTAATTAGTTAAACACTATGCAGTGAAGACATACAGGGGAGTGGAAGTGTAGCTCCACCATTCTTGACTTTGGCACTAAATGGAAGTGAGGGGTCAGAAGCTGACTTTGGGGGAAATCTTCCATATGCAAGTGAATGTTATTCGTGGAATTGATTAGTGTGATTTCCTTGTCTTTCTTCCAGGGAGTCGGAAGGGACAGTTATAAAACACTTGAGTTGCTGGCATGATTTTCAGAATTAATGTTTTGTTTGTTTGTGTTTAGAATGGAAAAGTGACAGACCACAGATGGGATGTCATGTCTAAGTGTGATTGGAACAATAACTTCAGGAAGTCTAAAAGGAAAGAATGAATGTTCTAGAAAAGTGATAGTGTTTGTTATATACCACCAAGTCAGAAAAGTGATTTGCATAATGTCACTCCTACTTGAATGTTAAAATAGTTGGGCAGACGGAATATTAACTAACTTCATAGGGCTGAGCCCTTCTTGAGAAACCGCCAATTGTTCAACTATTCAAGAACTTCCCTACATTTTATGGAACCTGAAGGTCTATTACTGTGTTCATGAGCCTTCCAATTGGCCCTATCCTGAGCCAAAACAGTCCAGTCCATACAACCCCATTCTATCTCTCTAAGATCAATTTTAATATTTTCCACTCACCTACATCTTGGTCTTCCTAGTAGTCTCTTTCCTTCTGGCTTTCCCACCAGTATTCTATATGCATTCCTCTTCACTCCCATTCATATTTCATGCCCTACCCATCTCATCTTCCTTGACGTGATCATTCTAATTATACAAGTACAAGTTATGAAGCTCCTCATTATTCAGTTTTCTCCACTCTCCCGTCACTGCATTACATGAGTAAATATGGAATGTTTTATATGGCACAGCTGTCTGTTTGCCACATAGTCTTTCTTACTTGATAATATGTGTCCTCTGTTATTGTAAGATATCTAATCAGCAGTCACTCAATGAAACTCAATTCAGACTGTAATCGAAGAAAATGGGGGTTCTATGAATCATCAATTTTGACAGAAAAAAAGACTGAATTGTAAATGAAATGCCTGTTTTTTACATTTTAATGGAAAATATTTTTCTCTGTTAGCAATCAGCTAAACTGAATAATATTTTTTGTACACATACTTAGGTATGTTCCATACAGTTTATAGGAGTTTAGGTTAAATCTGTAGAGCCATTTGGTTTTACCATTTCTTTGTCCCAGGCAGTATCTGTAAATCTATTTGCACATTCAGTACTGTCTTTAGAATCACAGAACATCATGTCTAGTTGTATAGACCAGTGTTCCGCAACCTTTTTCTACTCGCGGCACGCCATGAAGTATCCATGACTCAACACGGCACACCAAAATGTTATTCCCCTCAAAAACGTATGATATCAGACAATTAATATAAATACGTAACGTGATCAACTTAATTATAATACTGTTGTATTGTTATTTTATTATCATTAAACAGAAATCAACTTATGTGTTTATTAACAAGTAATGAACTTTAATACACTGTAGAGTGCAGAAAATACACTTCTATTACTATTAAAGTAAATACAGTAATTCTACTCATGCCTTCAATGTGATACTTGCGCCTGCGTAGCTGCACACAGGCGACTAATCCGTGGTGGAATCGTTGGCAACGCAAGTCTCATTTCTTCATCGATGGATTTGAGCCGCTCCCTCTTTGATGTCTTAATTTCTGTTAACGTCGAGAAGCTCAGATTACACAAATAAGTAGTTGAAAATGGCACTAACACATTTACTGCCATCTCGGAGATAGCCGGGTATCCACTCCTTATTGCCAACCAAAACGTATCCAAAGGCACTTCGAGCAGTTTTAGTTTCAATGTTCTGCCTGCTTTTAAATCTGCGAGTTCCTCTCGTATATTAATCGGAAGATATTCTGAATTCACAACAAATGGATCACGAACCCGGTCGAAATCTTGTACACTCTCTCCAAAATACTTACTGAATTTCTGCTGCAGCATTTCTAAATGTTCTTTAATTGTGTCCATCACTACTTTATTGCTGTCAGCAAGTGGCCATACGGTCGAGGACATCTCAAACGACCCATCTGTAATTCTCTAACTAGCAACCAAAATTTGCAAACTACTTCAGAGCACAGCTGTGATAGAACTGAAACAGTTGTAAAACACGGGATCTCTACTCTTCAAATGGAAGAAGTGACACTATACCGACTTATTTTTTAAATATTTATAATTTTAAATTAAGTCCAACAATAGGTGGGTGCATCATTACAGGAAGAAAGTCATAAAGTTGAAGAAGCTCTAACTTCTAACAAATGGGCAAATACCGAATTAGCATTATAAAAGACAAGAGCCATGCTAATCCCTGCAGTTTTAGGGAAAATCACATACACAGAACATGTGGCAAACATATCAAAGAAGCTGCGTAGATGCGAGGAAAATAAAAATAAATCAGTAATGAAAACTATGATATAACAACAACTGTGAGTAAATAATTTGTTTAATTTCTTAGAATACAACATTACTGTACATAAAAAATCACAGCATGTAATAAAGAATAAACGAGCATCATCTTATTTAATCAGTGCAGTGTCTGAGAATAAAATACAAGCATATGAAACACGGTAACTGGGATAAAATTCAACAATTAATTTCTTACAATAGGTAAAAATTCGCGTCACACCTTTCATCTTGTGACGGCACACCAGTGTGCCGTGGCACTCCAGTTGCGGAACACTGGTATAGACTTGGAGGAGTCTTCATTAAGATGGTAAATCATATAGGACCCTCTTTATAATAATTTAATTTGTTTTATTGTGTTTCATATGATTGGTGTAGCCTTCTGAAGCATCAGAAACAAAAATCCAGTTGCCTGGCATGGAAGAAGAGGTAAGCAATCTAAAATGGGTACTTAGAATTTGGAAAACCACTCTACATTCTTAATATTTGAGTTCATGTGGTGGTGATTGTGAAGACGAGTGTGTTCTGGCATGTGATGCTATATACGTAGTGTGTTCAAAAAGTATCGAACCTTTGGTCGGCAGAAATACATTTATTGATTTGGAGGTACAACCCCCTAATCCCCTTCAAAGTAGTCTCCTTGGTAATGCACACACTTCTCCCAGCGCTTCCGCCATTGTTGGAAACACTTCTGGAACGTGTCTTTTGGGATGGTGATCAGCCGGGCCGTCGCATTCCGCATGATGTCTTCTCTCGACTCAAATCGGGTTCCTTTCAGTGGCATTTTCAGTTTGGAAATAGCCAAAAGTCACACGGAGCCATGTTGGGGGAGTAGGGAGCCTGATGAACCACACAGACGTTTTGTTTGGCGACAAAAGTCTGAATCAGATGCTCAGTTTTGGTACGAATTTCACGGACACTCTCCCCATGCCCAAACCCTCGGTCAAAATTGAATGTACCGGTCCAATGCTTACCCCTATCTCGTTCGCAAGTTCTCGGACTGTGATACGACGGTCCTCCATGACCAAAGTCCGCACTTGCTCAATGACATTCTCATTTCAGCTTGTTGAGGGTCTGCCTGAACGCGGTTCGCTGTCCACCGATGTACAGCTGTCTTTTATCTGTGAGTTGTTCATGGCATCGTCCCCGAAAGCCTGTTGAATCTTATGAATGGTTTCCACATGGGTATCTCCAAGCTTTTGTCAAAATTTTATGCACTATTGCTGCTCATGTTGTTCCGTCATTTTACACCTTACTGGAATCTGACGAGCGCTCACTACACGTCCTCACTCATAGGCCGACTGCCAGTGACTGACACTTTCTGCAAGCGGGAAAAACTTCATGACTGCACATTAATGTCCCCTCTGCATCTCCACCGAAGGGAGCCTCCCGCACTTCATTGGTTTACACAGGAAAAAAGAAGGCTCAATACTTTTTGAACACACCATGTACAGTAGTTTGTTAGATGTTTACTGATGTTCTAGAGGAATGTACTCTCTCCATCTTCATGGTAGAAGATTGAGGAGAAGGTTCTTCTACCGTAAGAGTTCAGGCAGCACATTCCTTCGAAACGTCATCCTATACCTACCGGACTATATGACATTACGTCCAAGAAGACACTTATTTGGACCCTGAAGTTATAAAGAAGGGATGAATGCCTGTCATTGCCATCCAATAGTATGAGTATCAGGCATACTTTCTGGACCTGAATTCAAAACTATAAATTCAAAATACAGTTTGAGTCCCCAGTAAGGCATTTTAGATATAATGGCCAATCATGATAGCCACTTTGCTGAAAGAATGTTAAGGTCAGTTGCTAACACTCGACCTATGTAATCAAGAAAAATCATGTTCATATCAAAAGTTATCATATTATAGTGTGTTGTCTTGGTAGTGGATCTTGGCTTAAATAATGTGAACAATCGTATAGCTCAACCTGTGTTTCAGCCTTAATTGTTAATCTTTATAGAGGCACCTAGTGCTAAAGGAAACTACCTAATTTACATAGAATATGCTGAAGTGTGTAGTGGAGTAAGATAGATGCTATTTATGCTGGCTTGTCAGTGTAATGCTGAAGGTTGTATAATGTATGATAGGCTTATGATCATGTTTAATATGTCTATTTGATAATGTTGTATGATATCTCTGTAATGATTTTAGGGGGTTGAACTGTAAGATTATTGAATTACTAAAAAATATAGTTATTGTCATGTGTAGAGTGGTATGTATGGCGAAAATGATATGTTCTAGTTTGAATGATTGAATTTATTAACACTTTGGTTACCCACTTTCACTTAATTACGATTAATACATGCAGTAAAGTGCTCTTGCATGGAATGGAATGTAAGAAATCTGTGCAGAGCAGGCTCACTGATGCAGTTGTGAAAGAAATACCAAAATATGAGTCCAGGAGAACCAGGTGGGACTGAAATTAAATGGGACACATCTATGCTGTTGAAGTAAAACTACTGCGATATATCAGATACCATAAAGAGACACACAGAAATTTAATTGACGCAAGTAAGGAGGTTGGTGTAGGAGTAATTGCAGAGAAGACTAAGTGTATGTATCTTGCTCATCATAAGAATGCAGGGCAGAATCATGATACAGAGATAGCTAATAGATCCTTTGAAAATGTAGCATAGTTCATATATTTGGGGATGACAGTAACAAATCAAAATTTGATTCAGAAGGAAATTAAGAGGAAGTTGAATTCACGTAGTGCTTTCTACCATTCAATCCACAACCTTCGTCGTCCAGCTTGGGGTTTGGGTGTGGGGCTAACAACTCCTTTTACTTACTTACTTACTTACAAGGTTTGTCCGGAAAGTGATGCAATTAAGTTCGTAAAAAAAATATATTCAAGATATCGTTACAAACGTTTAAAATTCTTCAAAGTACTCCCCTTGGGCATCCACACACTTTTGCCAGCAACTTTTCCATGCACAGTACGCATCCTGGAAGGTGTCGACAGGGACCTCGTTTAGAGCCTTTGTCATGGCGGTTTGGATCGCTTCAAAGGTTCCAAAATGGGTTCCTTTCAGGGTGGTCTTCATCCTCAGGAACAAAAAGAAGTCTGCCGGAGACAGGTCAGGACTGTAGGAGGCCGGGGCAACGTTACCAAGCTGTGCTTGGCCAGAACCTCCTGGACGTGCAGAGTGGTGTGGCTGGGAGCGTTGTTGTGGTGCAGCTGCCAGGTCGGTAATGACGTCGTGCACAGTGATTTTCGGAATACTGGGAGTCTCTGCTATCATCCGAACACTCGTTCAATGATCGGTATTTAAAAGATCACGAACACGAGACACTTTTGTCACTTTTGATGGTTGACGGCCGTCCAGAGCAGGGGTCATCCTCCACATCTTCCCGGCCATTTTTAAACAACTTCAACCACATAGAGACTTGAGAATAGGAAGCAGCAGAGTCCCCATAGGCTTCCTGAATCATTTGATGGGTGTCGGTGAAGCTTTTGTTCAGTTTAGCACAGAACTTGATCGTGTAATGTTGTTTGATAGTTTTCTCTGTTGCACATCGTGACACAGGCACTAACAGGAGGTTCACAGAAACAGCGATCCTGATGCTCCCAGAGCGCAGAGCAGCCTGAGCTTGGAAGCGTTGTGAAGCTAAGACCCCCCCCCTTCCCAACCAGTCTGAATGTGCTGCGACCAGGAGGAGCGGTGGGGAAAAAACAAATTGCATTACTTTCCGGACAAACCCTGTAGATACTTACGCGTGGAGCTGAGCCCTTCTGGAGGAGCTGCCTATTCTGCAGCTACTCAAGAATTTCCCAGCGTTTTATGGAACCCGAAGGTTCATTACCGTGTTCACAAGAGCCCTCCACTGGTCCCTATCCTGAGCCAGATCAATCCAATCCATACCATCCCATCATATCCCTCTAAGATCCATTTTAATGTTGTGTGCCCACCTACAACTTGGTCTTCCCAGTGGTCTCTTTCCTTCTGGCTTCCCATCAATATCCCATATGCATTCATTTTCTCCCCCATTCGTTCTACATGCTCTGCCCACCTCATCTCTCCTGACTTGATCATTCTAATTATACTTGAAGAAGAGTACAAGTTATGAAGCTCCTCATTGTGCAGTTTTCTCCAACCTCCTATCAATATTCTCCTCAACACCCTGCTCTCAAACACCCTCATTCTATGTTCCTCCCTTAATGTCAGAGACCAAGTTTCACACCCATACAGAACCACAGGCAAAATTATAGTTTTGTATATTATAATTTTTATGTTTTTGGACAGCAGATGAGAAGACAAAAGGTTCTGGACTGAATGGTAGCAAGCATTACCTGAGTTCAGTCTCCTCTAAATTTCCTCCTCAATCAGGTTTCGATCTGTTATTGTTGTTCCCAAGTATCTGAACTGTGCCACATTTTCAATACACCATTGCATGGCCCATCCTCACATTGCAGATGGAGGAGACACCCTCCAGTTTTGGAGGGAAGCTGCGAATATATTGAATAAGCAGTTGCGGACAGCCAACAAGGGGTGGTCCTCCAGCTTGGGGGTTGAGCGTGGGGCTAACAACTCCTCACCATAAAAAAATAATTATGTTACGAAAATAAACACAAAGCCTCGGACCTGGACGGATTCCTTGGATAAATGACCTAAGCTAAAGAAAATAGATGTGAGATTTGGCACTTGGAATGTTCGAAGTTTGTATTGGGCAGGTTCGCTCAGGGCAGTGGCAGATGAAATCTTAAAATATAAGTTAGATTTAGCGGGAGTACAGGAGGTCAGATGGAATGGAGGTGGCATCGCACCAGCAGGAGCCTATACATTTTTCTATGGAAAGGGGAATGAAAATCATGAATTAGGTACAGGTTTTTTAGTACATAAGAGAATCGTATCAGCACTTAAGAGGGTAGAATTCGTTAGTGATAGGATATCATATATAATACTGAAAGGTCGTTGGTGTGATATCATTGTTATGAATGTTCACGCCCCAGCAGAAGATAAAATTGATGACATAAAGGATAGATTCTCTGAAGAACTAGAACATGTATTTGATAAATTCCCAAAGTACCGTATGAAAATTTTGTTAGGAGATTTCAATGCCAAAGTAGGGAGGGAAGACATTTTCAAACCAACAATTGGGAATGAGAGTTTGCATGAAATTAGTAATGGTAATGGAGTTAGAGTTGTAAACTTTGCCACATCAAAAAATCTTACTGTCAAAAGTACAATGTTCCCACATCGTAACATTCATAAATTAATTAGACATCTCCTGATGGGAAGATACACAATCAAATAGACTATATTTTGATAGATAGGAGACGGCACTCAAGTATACTTGATGTCCGATCATTCAGGGCAGCAGATTGTGATACTGACCACTACCTGGTGGTGTCAAGTGTTAGGGAAAAACTGGCAGTGAGCACACAAACAACACACATAGTTCATATAGAGAGGTTCAGCCTCAAGAAATTAAATGAGGTAGAGGGTAAAGAGCAGTATTGTATTGAAATCTGAAATAGGTTCACGGCTTCGGAAAACTTGGAAAGTGAGGTGGATGTTAATAAACCTTGGGAAACTATTAGAGAGAATATAAAAATGTCTGCCAAAGAGAGTCTAGGTTATTATGAACCAAAGAAGCATAAGCCATGGTTCGATGAAGGATGCTCAAAATTATTAGATCAAAGGAAGCAGGCCAAATTGCAATGGTTACAGGATCCAAGTGAGTTAAATGGGGATAATCTGAACAATATAAGACGTGAAACCAGCGGGCATTTCAGGAACAAAAAGAGGGAATATCTGAAAGACAAAATTGATGAGCTTGCAGTGAACAGTAGAGACCTAACAACTCACCATAAAAAATAAGCTTGTTAGAAAAGATCACAAGAAGCCTCAGACCTGGGTGGATTCTCTGAATAATTGATACAAGATTGGTACCCTTAATGTTAGAAGTCTGTATAGGGCAGTGGCAGAGGAAATCTCAAAATATAAGTTTGATTTAGTGGGAGTACAGGAGGTCAGATGGGATGGAGGTGCACCAAACCAGCAGGTAAATATGCATTTTTCTCTGGAAGGGGGAATGATAATCGTGAATTGGGTACAGGTTGTTTTGTACATAAGAGAATCATATCAGCACTTAAGAGGGTATTTATTAGTGACAGGATGTCAGGCATAATACTAAGAGGTTATTCACATTTACTGTGTATAATGGGTGTACTGATCATAATGGTATGGCAGTGTGCTACATGTGTCAGTTTATAAAGCAATCATTGGGCAGTATAGTATACACTAGCAGCTGTTCTCAAACTATTGAATTGCGTTTTATATGAATTCATATTTTGAATTGTTTCATTTTGGTCCGTTACACTATTATACATAAAATCAATACAAAGTCCGTGTTTCGGTTTTAGTAAAACCGAAACATGTAAGGCAAGAGTGAGAAAGAAGTGACCTAAAAAACATTGTTACACTTGACGGACTTTGTATTGATTTTATGAATTCATATATTACAATATAAGAATTATTATTAATGTGTCTTACGTTACACATAGTTAATATATTCAGCATTTTGTTAAAATTAATACCGTTGTACATATATTAAAATTGGAATAAAAGTTTTTAAATTGTAAAATACCCTCAAACAAATTAAAATGGTTCTCATTATTTCGTTCATCATCTGAATGTATTTTATCACTTAAAAACTTTTATTATTTTTATTTTGTTTTATTTTCTTGTAGACACCTTTATGTTCATTTCTAGGCACCCATTCAATATAAAACTTTTATTCCAATTTTACTATATTTATGAGAATAGTATTAATTCAGGCAAAGTGCTGCATGTATTAACTATGTGGAAAGTCAGATACATTGGTGATATATTGTAATATATGAATTCATATAAAATGAAGTTCAGTAGTTTGAGAACCATTATTAGTGTATACTGCCTGATGATGGCTTTGTAAACCAGAACATGTAGCACACTTCCATACCATTAAATTCAATAACTCATACCCAGCAAATTTCAATGATATTTTGATAGTTGTGTTGAAATGAAAAAAGCAATAACACAATGTAAGTTAAAAGAATGCACTCCTTGAAGATTTAGAAATTAACTTCTCGCACTCTTCTTATTTAAATTCTTTCCACTTCTCTAGTTTATTGTGTGCTATCAATCATTCTACTATTTTTATTAATCAGTCTCCTCTAAATAGGTAAAGGTAAAGTTGTCCCTGTGCTTAACCAAGCACTACGTCATGCAGATGTACAGATCCACATTCTATTGACCTCAGCACTAGTCAGAGGTGAGCGGTCAGCTTCATGCCCCTGCTGCTTAACCCCCTGGAGAAATTGGATAGGAGTTTGGGTGGACCCCAGAGCCAGTCAGGACATGATGGGAAAGAGAAAATTCTTGACCCTACTGAGACTTGAACTCAAATACCTTGGTTGTCCAGCCCATAGCCAGTCTCTATACTGACTGCTCTATTCCAGCTCACCCTCTAAATAGTGCAAACAGTGCATCCTAAATAAATGATACAGTATAGCAGATAAACGTTTCTTGTTGTTTGTGTATATGGGGTGTTTCACAAGTTGTGGAAGCCCATGTACTGCCATTGAGTATCATGTCCTGTTTGTCACATTCACATCATCGTAGCTTTGCCTGCCCATAGTTCTGTAACTGCTGAAAATCATACCTGTGTTGACACAACATTTTTCACTTAGAATGAACAAGGGAATAACCTGTAGAAGTTATGAAACAGCCTGTATATAAAGTGACCGTTATTTTTATTTGATAAGAGAGATTACGGATGAATAAAGTTCTCCTTAAGTAGACTGAATTGTTTAATTTATTAAATGTAATAACTAGATATAACAATACAGATTTTTCATTGAACTACAAAACGTAGATGTTCTTAAGATCTTCTTTGTTTTCCTGCAGTGTGGATCAGAATGTGATGAACCTCCACCAAAGAGAGCAGTACTTGAACACCAACATAAATTGGAACCCATGTGAATGTTGTCATCATGGACAATTAGGAGCAAATGGATGGACCAAGCCTCCATTCGAACAGTTTGACACATTCACTCTGCAAGCATTGTACATTAGCATTACTGAAAGGAATGGCATATTTATGCTGTTTGTATCTGTGTTATTCCTTGTCACTTAAAATTTGGTCTGTAACACCCCAGACAATTGTGTGTTAACAAGAACCTTATCTGAACTGTGGCAGTTGTGTCATGAAGTCGCAAATAAGGAATTCTCTCCTATCTAAATTGAAAGTGAACAAGTGTCCACATTGGACTCAGAATTAGATATGTTTATTTTTAATGAACTTAGCTTTCAAGGAATAAGTTATATAATGAAAATAATTTTTGTGCATTGACAGAATAAGATTTTATTCTGAAGCCAAATCAGACCTTTGTCAAAGAATGAATTCCATTACTTTAGATGAGCATGTTGAAGAATTATGACTGTTACTGTCTTGTGACAGATTGATATGTGCATGCTCTTTTTGTTCTTACACCCACCATTCCTACAGATATTTCGTCTAGATTCATCAGTGCAGGTGATCATACTTGCACAGACCCTCAAAATCCTAGACAGGGAGGATGAAAATAATGTATATGTAAAAGAAACAAAATTAACAGTGAAATCATGCCTAAATTAAATTGGTCATTCAGCAAAGCATTGTGTATCTCCATACTGCATTTCTATCTGTAATGGCCCATAGATAAATTGTTGTCTGAAATGTTTCAGGGGTTATGTGAAGTAATGTATGAAAGTTGTATTACTTTGAAGTCCTGAGCATTTAAAACTGACTGTTTTTCAAATCATTATATTCAGGAAGTACTTTTATAGGTTTGCTATATCATTTATGTTGGGGGTAGAAAATGGTATCATTTTCATTGTTACTCAGAAATAAAACAGGTGGGCTAGTATAGAATATCCATCATTATGGTGATATTTATGGTAATTTATTAATTTTGTAATGCTGGTACTAATGAGGTGTGTATATCTGCAGCATGTTATACATAAAATAGTATGTCTTTAGTCTTTGTTTTGTTTTTAATATTAAATGCAACTCTCACATTTTGTGTTCTTTCAGCAAGGTACTTTTTTCTATCTGTATTCACTGATTGGAAATCTTATGTAAACCATGTTCGTGGTTTGAATGATTCTTATGTAAATAATTGAAATTATCAAAACGTTATCTTTGCAACCTATAATGGGCCCATTACACTTCTTTGAAAGGTAGTGTAAGCACTGTATCTGGTATAAATATAATTTACTTCAACCCATTCTGTATGGCAATACCTATTGTAATGCAGAAGTTCAGGCTACAGTGTTTGGAAGATGTAAAATACCATATGTATAAATGTAATAAAAAAATGGCAGTCAGAAGGCTCTTTCCATCAGCCTCTATCCAAGATTATAGGCTGTGTTTTTATGGAGGAAAGCTTATCCCTTGTTTCTAAATTTGAATGCTGCAATGTACAGCACAAATTGTCAACCCAGAAATTATCATATGGTCCAGATCTTCAATTTCATGTCCTACATAAGAAATTGATGCAAAGTGTTGATGTTTTCATATGAAACAAAATTTTGTTGCTTTACTGATCTTAAAAATGTTATTACAAGTTGCCAGTTTTCCCCCCTGTATGGTGTATTGTGACCAAAATTTTATATTTAATGTTATTTAGCATAAGTATTGGCATTTTTTAAATTGTTATAAATTTTTATACTTGGCATTGTTCTTGTTCTTTACAATTTTTTAAATTGGCTTTAAAATAGGATCATTGGTCCTTACTGATACGTACCTCATGACTTCAGACTTCTTGAACCATGTGGATTTTGATATCCCCTAAAACATCAGTAATTTGAGGTGCTTGGGCCAAAATTACAAACTTCATATTATATAATTTTGAATTATTCAGTTTCTCACTGTGAACTTACCTTCTGGGTAATTAGTTGGAATAAGAATGTAACAGTGCACTATAAGCACTGATATTCAGGTACAGTATGCGAGCACAGTTTTTAAACCACAAATACTTTGCATGACTAGCAGTTTACACAAATACAAACTTTTCATTGTTAGGTTTCAGAAAGATCTTGTATGTCCTTAACACAGATTCTTAAGGACAGCATGATTTTTTTTTCACACAAATATCACGGACTAATAATAGTCCAGCACTGGTAATGCCATAAAAGCTTCTTTATGAGTAGAATTGGATGGTAGTGGTGCATCTCCTGCGTCTCTTCCTGTTATCTGCCCACATGGTGCATAAAAGGTCCCTTTTTTAACAGATTGCACATTTTCTCTCCACTTTCTGGTCTCTCAGCAGGTAACCTTGTTGAAGGTCAACTACTTCATACAGTGCAGAGGAAGTTACTACCTACAAAAATGAACACTCTTATTTCTGTGCAAATTGCAGTATACAATTGTATATTGTATATTAGGTAATAATCTGGAAGTTGTCACAGGGCTTCCATATTGCTTTGAATTGCAAATTAACCTATTTCACGTAGCCACATCAAGAAGCATACAAAATCATACCTTCAATGATGGGAATGACGTTTAAAATTAGGCGGTATTTGAATTAATTGGTAACAGAATTAATGACAGTGTACTGTGCTGCTTCCTGAGGCTATTTTATTCAGTGTCTGTTGTTTTGCACTTGTTTTGGGAATTAATTTTTAGTTAAAATATCAGTACCTGAAATTTTTTGGGTGTGTACACCTAAGAAACAGTGAAAGCAAGTGATGTTTTTTTGTTGAAAGACATAATTTTAGTATGAACTGCAGTACATAATAAATAAATAAGACATTACAAAATATATGATTAAAATGTCTTCCCCTGCCTTTGTGGATTGGTATGTTTCTGGATTTCACTGTTTTTCTATATGATATGAACAGATCATATTAATATGCAACAGTAATGTAGATGTAGAATTGCTAATAGAATACCAAATAAAATGTTATATTACCATGTCACAGGGAAGATTTTAATAAGGTAGAGTCAGACATTAATTCTTGTAGCCTAAAAGTGTGGAAGGAGAAGAATGAATTAAGTAGCAGGTGGCACAAAGAATCACGTTTAAAAACATGGTAAAAACTTCTCTAGATCTGAATGAAACTCATGTCAGTTATATAGAACATTCTTAAGCATGTGTAACACAGGATTTATTCAGTTGGTTTGGTTTGTTACACAGAAATGTATTTTCGGTTTTGATGAAAATTTGTACATCATAGTGCCCATTCTTTCAAAATCTTGAATCAAGCTGTAGTTAAATTTGGAAGATCCAAAATATGGTAGCCAAATTTTCCAGGTTTAAATTTGTCAGATTACCATGTTTGAAACAAACATGAGTTAGTGTACAAGAACCAGAGAGAATCTTTTCAGTCCCTGGGGTTACTGTAACAGGCAACTGAAAATGTGTGGTCGTTCATATCGAGCAGCCATTGAGCAGTGAAGAAGACTAGTTGAAACCATAATCTGGGAAAACAGGGGTCCTATGCTACATTGGTTCTGATAAAGTAATGTGATACAGTTAGTACTAAAATTACTGTTTTTAACGTTGAAAATGGAAAATATTTTTCTGTATAGCAAATTGACGTCAATGAATAAATCTTTCTTTTTATGCACATAGTGTGTTCCATGAAACTTTTACATGTTTCATTCATATCAATGTAACAGTATTTGCTTAATGTAAAGAGAACACTAATAAAACTGTTGGGACTTTCTCACCCCTCTCCCCACCAACCAATTTCTTGAGCTGTAAAATGATGTGTGGCATTATTTTCTCATAGGCCTAGTGTGAGCCGAACGGAACTTGAACAGGAAAAATAAGCTATATAAATATCCTTAAAATAATATCAGCAGGAAAAGAATAACTGCAGTTAGGCAGATTAATCTTTTGTATTTCGTTCATACTAAATTGAAGAGCTATTCATAATATTTATAATGAAGAGAAATATTTGTCACCATAATGTTGGTATATATATATATATATATAGCACAATGAAAGCATGTAGACACCTAAATCCAACAACTGCCATCACTATAATTGTACAGAGAAGATTATTTTCTTTCTTATGAATCATTAAAGATTTACTAGACTTGAAGTATTGGCCTACAGTTACAGTCCTATGAATGATTGGTTGTAAAACATATGATATCAAATCATGATCCTGAAAAGGGAAATTCTTTTTTAATTGGCAGGTTTATGGTAATTAACAAATAAGAAAGACTTGTGTGGATAAATTGAATCACAGTTTATGTTAGTGGCATGGTTGGGGGCTGAACAATGAATCACAAATTAAAACTGTGAACATGCAGTTCACAACATAAGTTTTGTGTGCTTGCAAAGCTGAATAGGCAGCTTTTGCTGATGTGTGAGTACATGACTACTCTCCAGTATTAGACATTCAGACTAAAGCTGACAACCGTATTGTTTTTTCAGAAGTGGTTCATAAGTAATGGTTTTGTATGTAGGTCTGCTGTTATATGTCAGCATGTCAGTGATAAAATTAAATATGGTTATTGGGTTTGCAGCATCTTGTGTGTTGTGTTCATGTCTGTTTTTCTTAATGTTTGGAAACTACCAGGTAATTTTGCACTGAAGTTTGCACATTATGTTATGGAACATCAGACGTTTGTTTTAAGGTACACTATGAATAGATGCCTCATGTATGATGAAAGTGAAATTCTTTAGTTATAAAAAAAAGTCAGTACACCTTGATGGATTTGGAAGCTGTACTGTGTTTGGTTTGTTTGAATACATAAAGTCCATTGTTCATTTCTATACGTAACTCTGCAAGAAGAGGTTAATTCCTGCCTCCCCCCAATATTTATGAGAATACTCTCTATACAGATCATTTGCTCAGCTCAAAGCTATAATACAGAATATAAAATTTGCTGTCAAGACTGTTTCCTGCACCTGACCTGGCACTCTTCTTGGGTAGACCCTCTGTGGTAGACAGTAATTCACAGTTGACTTTTCCACTGTAGCTTAGCATAACTTTTATGCAGAAGAGTCTCAGTGTGACACCCCTCTGTTTGTAAGCATGTCTCACTTCGTGAGATAGTGTTTCTAGACACATCAAAGCTGCTGAATGGGAGTAGCAGAAATTTCATGCCTAATATTTTCTTGAATTTCTTCCAAATGAGTGTACATTTTTCATGTTGGTGTGTCCAACAAATAAGACAATGATTCAAATCGGATGATCATGGAGACCACAATCCTTGACTTATGATTTCTTCATCGAAGACTTCATCTAGTTCATCCACAGAATTGTTCACAGTATGTACCATTGTATTGTCTTTCATAAAATTCCCATACCGTTTTTCTTCATCATCCAGTTGACTGAAGGAGAGTGACAAACTCAGTTTCACATAACATTAAGAATATATTGTTACATGAAAAAGCACCAGCCTGATTATACTCCATATACTAATTACACACTAAACCCCAACCTTTAATTCATGAATGGCATGAGGATATTCTGTGCTTCAGTATCAGTTATTGTGGCTGTTAACCAGAACCACTTAGGGTGAAATGTGCCTTTTCAGAATTAAATATAAGTTCTGTGTCAAAAAATTCATTGAATACCAGTTCTTGGAAGCACCCACTGTGACAGTTTCTTGCTTTGCAATTTGGAGGCAAAAGGCTGTATATGACAGTAGTTTTGAGAGACCATAACTTTACCTTTGCACCAAAATGGGCTGTACTATCTGCCAACCTCCACTGAAGAGTCAGAAGATAGAACAACTTCTTCGGGCCGCTTCTAATCAAGTACTATTGCTGTAAATTTTTATTCTTCAGTTAGCACCTGTCTTATCCACATGGAATGTAGTTTTGTTACATCACTGTGAATTGTGGCCTTAAATGGCACTACTGTCAGAATATGTCCTACAAGAAGTTTGTATGGCATTTCCTCCATGAAGAATGCTGCACAGATACTGTATATGAATGGTTTATGTTTTTAACAGTATAGTTCATAACACTTGCAAATTGTGTTCACACATATCACAGGGACATTTGACCATTCTAAACAAGCAGTGCTATTGAGATATGCCAGCTAGCACTGGGTGGTTTGGTGCCCCACAGTAGACAAGTATGGACAAAGAGATTTCTAGCCAGTAGGTTTAGAATAAATTGGATTCTCTGGACAGACAGTTCTGTCTTTTAAGCTATGACTGCACTGAGTTAAGCATATAATATGCTTACACATGTATGATATGGTACAACTAATTGCTTTGAATCTATTCTGAGAAAAATTTGTTTCTTTATGGTCAGAAGGAAATTTGATTGGTTTATGCACTGTTTGCATAAAATAATGGAATAATTGTGAGGTCCGATCCATCTGTCCATAATCCTCAAGAATATTTAACAGAATTCAGTTAAATTTGATGCTATAGGTCTGCAGTAAGAGTTAGATAAATGTAGTACATTCTGGTATACATGAAGCTCAAGTTGAACTTTACAGAAGTTTTCAAAAATTGCGTGATGTCGCATAAAATACAGATCATACCAAGGTCTGCAACATAAATCTAACCCCCCTCCCAATTCCCCAGTATGTTAGATATAATGTCATATGTTTATTTATTTTTGGCCTTTATCACGTATGGAATTTATGAATCCTGTGCATTATAGTATCTGTTTGATTGTCAGTGATAGATATGGGCAGACATGCACAGCTTGTTTGTAAGGTTACAAATAAGGAACTGTTTCCTCACAGTGCTAAAGATATGATTTATATGTGATCATAAATTATATTTGTTGTGTTGGGGCTTAAGGTCGCAGATATTCAGAATTACTCTTGAGCTCTGAGTTTTAATATTTGAGAATTGCTGACTGTCTTGGGTTAACAGCAACATATATTTTCCAGTTGAACTGTGCAGGAGCTAGGTCATCTTTACAGAAAAAATTGCCGTTTTTCACAGCATAGCGCAGATTATTTGCATATTTAAAGCTATCAAATGTGTATGAAGAAGTCTGTATGACCAGAATCATTAGTAGCAGCTAACTCCTAATGTGTTACAATTTCTTTTCATTTAGCAAATACTAATTCTATCAGCCTCTTTAAATAGAAGTCAGCTATAGTTTCAAGACAGTATAAATAAGCTTAACTTTAAATTGAATCTAAATCCTTATCCCATAAAATTGATTAAAATTGTTTCATTTTGGACATAATGTGATGAGGCAGATGACAGTAAGATGTTTTATTCATCATTAAATGGACAAAGCTAGATAGAATCTGTTGTCAGCAACAAAGTTTATAATTTATTGATACTATTTATTTATTGGTCATGTAGTTGTTTTGTTTATAGTGATGATATTTCATATTACTTTCTTATCTGCTGTTGAAGTATAAAAAGTAGGCAACACTACAATACTAAGGCTGCTTTCCAACTTTAACCAATTTATCTCTGTGTACCTCATAGGTTGAGTATATTTGTTTCCATTTGACTTACTTGCAACAATCTCATATGGCAAATTCATTCATGTATTTGTTAAATTGTCGTTATAAGAGTCTGTGCTTAATGAAGTTTTACCTTTATTTAATAACACTGTTAATGGTTGTCATGCATACAAGTCATGTCTGTTAACGTTTCACAAGAATTGGTTCCATGTTGAAGTGAAGCACATATTTCTTCCTGCTCTTTTAATTTAAACAAAGGGTAAAAGTGCAGAACATTGACAAGTCTCTGTTTGTTACATATGGACATTGAAAGCAGACTATAAACTTACGCTGAACAAGTCTTTACATTCTTAATGCCAACAATAAAAGCAGCAGGATTTAAAACATGTAATCTTTGTGCATGTTTGACAAGTCTGTTTCAGACCTCAAAAAAACTTATTTAGATAAAAGCTGTATTCAGTTCTGATTTTCATAATATGACATTGGTGAAATGAAATGCAGTTGCTAATATTACATGTGTACTATAACGGAAATCAAATAGTGATACATGATGACATGGTGATGTTGGCTTGTGTTGTCACTGTTTTGCTTCTCAGACATTATGACCAATTTTCAGTCATAATAATAATATTTAAAGCTGTTCTCAGCATTTTTATATGTTGGTATTGTAACTTATGTGTTTCTGTAAAAAGCACATAACTGGGTTTGGTAAAAGATGAGAGCCTTGTCCACTGGAGGTTAGTTTTTCAGCACGATGTTAGCATGTAGGAGTTTAATGTTTAATTACTATAATTTGTGAACTTTATTATTATTATTATTATTGATGCTAAATAAATATATAGATTAGTATGCTATCCTTAGAAAAAGTGTGAGTTTTTTACAGTAAGATTGTGTGAAATTGTTCTACCATCACATGACTTTGATAGCACAGGGTGGTTCATTCCTTCTTTCTGGCATTCTCATTTTACATAGTGAGCCACCCGACTGCAGAAAGGATAAGAAAATTGCATGATGTAATTGAAAGTTCCATCCATGTTTGAAAAATGTTTTCAGCAAAACAATTGTACTTACCTGACATTACAATAGCTGCTTAAAGTGGTGTTGTCCAACTTCTAGACACATATCACATGTTGAAACTGAAGAATAACATCCCATTTTTTGATATGTAGAGCTCTGAAGTGCAAGTATTAGTTCTGTGCAGTTTGTACTTCTGCAGACAAATGCCCACAGCTTACTAATCAAAAGAACATTGTGCACTGATTCAAAGAAATGAAGTATGCACATTTTATCAAAGCAGTAGACATGCATAAATCATGCATGTTGGCTGGAATCAAGTTAATATGTAAACTAAATGCTGGAACTGTCGTATGAAATGCTATGTACTTTATAATACCTAGGACAGAGAAGAGTCATGGGATTTCATCCATATGATTAATGACACTGAAGAAATCTGTATATTGGAATTCTGTAATTATTTTCTTCAGTTTTTAAATTGTGAATGAAGGGAAATACCTCTGGAAGTGAAAAATGGCATTGCCTTAATACTTGTAAAATAAAAGTTTTGCAATCATACTTACAAAAGTTGTGAAATTACGCTGTTGCAGGTTACCAAAATAACAAATTTATCAATGTTAACAGTTATGGACCTCTTGTATAAAGTTATATGATATGCCACAAATGAGCCAGCAGTCCGTTCTTTGAATATTTTGTTTCTCTTCTGGGAACGTTGATTTGGATATGCATGACATGAAATTACTATTTATCGTGGAATGTGAATTATTTATAAAAATTTGAAAGATTTTTGCTTTTCAGACTAGGCAACTATGTGTTCCTATTGTTCCTATAGACCATTTCTTAAAACTATGTCTGAGAGCTGTGATTTGAAACTAACAGAGTAACCTAAGTGGACGCTTTGTATATACTAATTATGGCATATATGTATGACTGCTTGATGTCAGGTCATTGTGAAGAACATTGTTATTGCTTAGGACATCAGACTTCTTCCAACTCCATTACAGCTTTGTTGTTTTCAAATTAGTCACTACATCACTTCTTGGACCTCCATTATTTCTTCATCCTGTAGGCGTGTATTGTGTCTAAAAATATGGCTGTACCGAATGTTTCTGTAATCCATGAAAATCACAAGACTTTTTGAGTAAATTCTTCATACATGCCTCCTATTAACTTTCACTGTGTTTGACAGCAAAATAATATATCCGTTGTGGTTGTATATCTGATATTTATTGGGCATGTCAGCATCAGTAGGAAGTAAGCAGGAATATGTTAGATATATTTTCAACCTCCACCAGGAAATGTTTTGTCTCATCCTCACATACTACAAAATGTATTCTTAGGTATGCTTCAACCTGCATGTCCACTGTGTCTATGAACAATACTGCCTTCTGGAATGTGATTTATAGTGTGATAGATGTTTATCGGTGTTTTGGAGGAATTTGCTGGCTTTGTCTTCTACCCTGAAGATGGAACCAGTAAGTTCCTCTAATACCACATACTGTTACATATCAGTGACTAGATATGGGGTTTGGGTTCATCACTGCATTTATTGGGCACTTATAACTACAAATTCATATAACAGTCTTAGTAATTCACGTATGCTGTAAATCACTACAACTACAACACACAGTCTTACGTGTGCTATTCTGTCATCAGTAGTCTTTTCTAGGTAGCCGTCGCTTACAATGGACATTCCTCATGGTCAGCCATGAACTGCCACTGCTCACTTGCAACTGACAACCTGCTCCTGATCCTTGTTGTATAAGACTTGGTGCAGACTGTATACAAAGCACTGCTTCTAACAGTTCCTCTTGTTGTGTGTTATTGTGACTGTGGAAACATGTTTACTACATTGTTGCCTATTACTGGCCACACAGAAAACATCTTATATTATGTCAGTATCTGTTTCTGTGGAAATGTGTTTGCTGTGCCGCTGCCTAGCAATGACAACCTCTACTCATTCCACTATTCCAGATTTCTGCCATCATGTCATAGTACATTATGTTAAGAACTATCACTGATATGGTCAGCATGTTCACTGATTGTGCATGGATGAAGTATGAGCTTCCAGCACCTTAAAAAAAAGAATATTTTGATTTATCAAGTAAAATTCTACAAAAATAAAAAATCCCTATTCTTGAGATGGCAGCTCGGCTAAATGTTATGAACAGTACAAGTTTGATTTGTTTCATTCTGGTCTGTCACACTAATAATATTATGAAAAAGTTAAATAGTTCCATCCAGTGTGACTGGTTAAGATTTTTTTTCTTATTTCAATTCATGCCCTGTAACCGCTCTCTCTGTATAGTGCCCTTTACGTTGGGTGTCACCTTCTTGTTGTTGCCGTCCCCCTTTACCTTCCTGTTCCTTCACCTGGCTTCCACCTGCAGCGGCTGTTGCTGATACTTCTTTGCCAAAGGAACACAGGTGAATTTTCTTTACCTCAGAAGGTAGAGATGAGACTATCTCAGGATCTTTTATACGGGCCTCGCTCAGACAGGGAGGCAGAAGCGTCTAATGATACACTTGCACTTTGCATGTGAGTATAATTTATTCTTTGTGAAGAAAGTGTAAAACAAAACACAGTTCACATACACAATTCACCA